TCGCCATTTTGGTTACCATGGCAACCATTGTTCCATATATTTTTTAATGTCTTACCTAAGTTTGGACTTGACATACATTATATATTCAAAATATTAGATCTCTATCTGTAATATTTTATGAAATATGATATTTTCAAAATAATACAAAATGGCCGAAATTGTTAATTTTCACATTTGGTTACCATGGCAACCATTGTTCGGAAAATGTTTGGCTATTGCATTTTAATTTGGAGTTGGGTATATATTATATATTGAAAACATTAGATCACTATCTTTAATAGTTTATGAATTATGATGCATTTAAAATAACACAAAATGGCCGAAATTTACCTTTCTGCCATTTTGGTTACCATGGAAACGATGGTTACGCAAATACCGACGACCCAAAAAATAATTCATAAATATAGATGTAGATATACTTTGTATATTTGAAAAAAATAGATCTCTACCTATAATGGTTATTGAAATATATTTTAATAAAAATGACACGAAATGCAAAGAGAGTAGTAAAACTTAGTCATTTTTTGATCGCAGTGCCATTCATGTATAGGAAAATCCTATATAAAGATTTCAGGAAAGTGCCCCGGAAAAAATAGTTTAAAAATCCGTAACTTTGGAACGCCTTGATGGATTTCATTCAATTTTTTTTTGTAATAATGCTCATTGTTTGCTCTTTCACTAACACTAAAACAAAACAGAAACAAAAAGATTAAAAATTTTGCATAACATCCCTATTAATAAATAACCCACCCTATGTAGTAGGAAACCATGCTGTTAATAATTTCAATAACCCACCCTTGTCATTTTATGACTCAGAGCTCCCTTGTAAACACGCGAGAGGAATGTTTAGCCATTGTTAGCAGCAAAGGAAGCGAGTCTCACTGCTGATTAATTATTCAATAGTTATCTGACGTCATTTTAGGCTTCCTACATTCTGATTGGCTAAAATAAACATATATTTGCTTATGTGTACTGCAGAAAAAAAATACGCTTCCAGGTACCCGTTCTGCTCACCACTTCGAGACAGTTGAACCCTATGTGATCAGGTATGCTCAACATGCAGCTGTAGACACATCTGACATGGGCATTTTCTCCTTCAAAGCCAAGAAGGATGATTCAGTTAATGATGAGACGGCATCAGTACAGCCAGCAGTACCTCTGCATGATATGAATATTGAGTATGAATCTGACATATACCATGGCTTGATATTGAATGTGAAAAATGACCAGTACCAGATTAGGTGTCTCAAAAAGGCTGCAACTGGGACAACATTCACCTTCGAACCAGAAAGGGACACCATCTGGTATACCTCGGGGCAAATAAAATCATCCATGGAGGTCAAGCCAATGCTGCTTAATGCTAGGGGCATGTACAAAGTCTAGATTTGGTCACTTACCCGGGATCCTCTGTGATGATTAGTCAACTAAGCCTGCAATCTGCAAAATTTACATGCAACACACTGAAAAGGTCATTTTCTTACCATATACTGTCCAAGATGGATAGAGAAAAGCAACATTTATTTGTCCCATCTGTCACAAATATATCCCACATCATTATGTCCCATCAGTCACAATGGAAAGTGTGTACATACTTATTCTAATTGTTCATTGTTCATCTGTTTGCTAAATATTTACGATTGTAATTGTTTATTGATATTTTTGGGCTCATTTGATTACAATTCTTAAAGCCTTTTGTCTAGTTAAGAAACTTTAAAGTTGGTTGATGTTCTCTTATATAAATAAAGTGCATAAAAAGATGTTTCTGCCTATTGTTGAATTTATTTCTGACACAATGGCATGTATTATTAAAGGTGTCATCTTAGGGAATATTTCTTCATGCTGAAATTTAGTTTAACGACTTAAAAAGTCATTGAGGTGAAATGTAAATTCCGTGAAATGAGATAGTGTCCCATCAGTCACATTGACTATAGTCCCATAAGTCACACACGATTGCACACAACTATTGAAACAAATGAAATGAATCAAGTCCAATTCAAGTACTGTTAGTGAGCCCATTCACTGGTTAATCTTCAAGCCCAAATCTAAAAACTTTGTCATAAAACTGAGATAGTTATGGCAACTTAAACAAAAGAGCTCGATTTGTGTGGTCCATAGATGTCCCATAAGTCACAATGACATTTCTGAAGATATAGCACCCTATGCAACCAAGCTAAAAGCATACATTTTTGTATATAGTAAGTATCAGCATTCTTCTTACAGTTTAATAAAGTAAAACCATATTTGTGCAGCTACTATTCCAGATATGCACTTCAGTTATATGGAAAAAAGTATCAAATGTCCCATAAGTCACAATGGAATTGACCATTTACATCTTTGCTTGGAGCCTGTTTCAAGAGCACCGTTGATGTTTTAAAACAACAATATAACTCGTATTTAACATTAGACATTGACGAGAAACTGAAGAATGAAAAGAAGTCTGCTAAATTGCACAACATTTATGCAGAGCAAAAATTATGGTGATGTTCTCAGCAATCAAAGGCCTGAAAACTAATGCAACTGTAGATTTTATTTCTTGTGTCATTAGAGCCAGAAAGAATCATGTCATTGATTATTTGATGAGAATGTCGGAAGAAGATCGAGACGAATTGGTTAACAAAGCTAGAGGATATGCACGAAAGCAAAGGGTTGTAAAGCAAAAAACAAAGAAGGAACTAGAGGAGGAAATCCTTGCTCGATACGCGATAAAAGCACAGAAAGATGTAGATGCAGAGCACAAGAAGTTGGTGACCCAGTTAAAGAAGATGAATTCCCCGAACATAAGGAAACAATGGATACCATCATGGAAGGAAGACTTGTTGGCGAACTGATTGCTCATACTGTACTTTCTTTGATAAGCAAACAGAATGTAATGTATCTTGGAGGAACAAATCGACCAAAATAAAGAACATAGGTTTTGATTTACCGGACTTTGAATCGTTTGAGGAAGCTTGTTCTGAGGCGGTTGATGCAGTTAAAAATTTGAACAATATAATTCAATTTGGAGGCGGAAAAAGAATACGAGAGGAGGAGGAGGAGAAGAAGAAAAAGAAAACGACAACGACCAGGGAATTGATTTTAATTAGGTACCTATAGATAATTTATGTGAAATTAAAAATTTGAAAGATAGATGTAATAAAAAATTTAACGCCAATATTAACGATTATGCTGTTAGGTTAGGTTTAGATAATGTTAGACTGATAGATATCTTACCAACATTAAACAGAGTTTAGTGGAAACAATGGATACCATCATGGAAGGAAGACTTGTTGGCGAACTGATTGCTCATACTGTACTTTCTTTGATAAGCAAACAGAATGTAATGTATCTTGGAGGAACAAATCGACCAAAATAAAGAACATAGGTTTTGATTTACCGGACTTTGAATCGTTTGAGGAAGCTTGTTCTGAGGCGGTTGATGCAGTTAAAAATTTGAACAATATAATTCAATTTGGAGGCGGAAAAAGAATACGAGAAGAGGAGGAGGAGGAGAAGAAGAAAAAGAAAACGACAACGACCAGGGAATTGATTTTAATTAGGTAAACAGAGTTTAGTGAAGATATCAGAGATAATGACTTCATCTTGGCGATACATTTTTGTGTAAAGCTTCACTTTTAACTTGTACATGTGATGCCTGCAAAGTGCTTGGTAACAAACATTATTCAATTTAATGGGAAATTTAGTTGTTGGCACTGCTTACACCCAAGGGAAACACACAGAACAGAAAAGGGGGGAAATTGTCATGTTTTCTCATTTATTCATGACAATCCAAATGGTCCTGCACGTACAATGTAAAAAAAGATGAGACAACAACTGTTAGAAAACTTCAACACCGGTGATAAAGACTATATTGTTAATGGCATTAAATGTCCATTCTGGTTTATGTTTCTGAACAATTTTAATTTTGTAGATGGGTTTATCATAGATTACATGCATGGTGTATGTGAAGGGGTGACAAAGCTTCTAATTAAGTTGTGGTTTAAGGTAGAATATAAAGATGACATTTTCTCAGTCTATGAATCTAGAAAAAAGGTAACATTAAGAAATGCTTCTTAAAATAAAACCAACTATCAACATAACCCGAGTTCCGTGATCACTTTAAATGAATTGGCATATTGGAAAGCATCAGAGTTTAGAAATTTTTTAATATACTGGGGTATCCCAATCCTTAAAAATATTCTAAGCACTGTTTATTTTGTTCATTTTTGCCTATTAGTTAAGTCAATTTATCTTTTATCAAAAGAAGATATTAACCTAGAAGATGTAGGTATCATCCTCTATGTGGTAGTGATATGGCATTCCAGGTTTCCGACCCCCCTCCCCACACAAGCGGAGTGAATGACATCATTATATGCCTTGCCGTCATTGGCCACTCCTTTAACCTTTCTAACCGAAACTGACCAATGGAAACTTAGGATCCACATTCAAATTCATTGTGTGTACAGTACCAGGTACCAGTGGAGTCTACCAATGTTTGACAAATATCTGTGATTTTAAGGTACAAAATACAACAATAATAGCTGGTTTGCTCACTGATAACTACAAAGCAAGGATAATTCATTGATGCAAGCCTTAATATTCAACACAACTTGATTGATTGAATGTTTCATACAGCCTCTAGGCCTAGCCGATGAAGCCGTAGCCTAGCTGGGCCAGTACCTGCCTATAGGCAGGCCTAGCCTAAGTAATACATAGTTTTTCGTACAAATAGGCCCTAGCCCTATGCTAGGGGCCTTTTGGTTTATTGCCATTTTGATCCATTGCCGTTCTGGTAAAAAAGTGTTGCTGTTTTGACTTATTGCCATTTTGGTTTATTGCCGTTTTGACTAGAAAACCACTTTTTGATGCTACACACAGTATTATCCTCCCCCATTAAAAAATGTATTGCCCTTTTTATAATTTGCAATGTACCTGTATTACACTCATTTTATGTCTTCTAATTCAACAGAACATGGTAGAGTAGTGGAAAGTAATGAAGTTGAAAAAAAAACAAAAACAGATGATGGACAGAAGTTGATATAATAAGTTATGGTTAGTACAGTAGTTGATATCGTTTTAATTCTCTGGTTAACCTGTCAATTGTTGCTCATTAACCAATTGTTTTTTACTGTAACATATTTCAAATCTCTGAATTTTCAGATAAGTGTTGGCACATCTCACAGATACGTGTGAAAATCATTCATCCCATCAACCATTTTTGGCTATCAAAGAAGAGAAACCTGTGCTCACAACTACAGAAGGATGGATCAGCCCTGGTAATACAAATACAAGGTAATTACAATGTGAATTGTAAACATTAAGCCTAAAGATAAGCCTTGTGGTCAATTACATGAAACATAATTATTTGGG